CTGTGTCCCCCCAGGGGCTGCTCAGGAGTGCTGCCCCTGAGCATCCCTTGGCTGTGTTGCCATCTGATCCAGGAGCTGGGACAATCCTGGAGCATCTCTGGGTGGTTGTGGGTGTCCCTGGGTTATCTCTGGACATCTCTGGGTGTTCCTGGACAGTCCTGAGCTGACTCCCTGTCTCCTCTTTGCTCCCCGCAGCCAGATCTCAGTGCTGGCAGGTGGGAAGGCCAACTGCTCACAGTTCTGCACCACAGGCATGGATGGTGGCATGAGCATCTGGGATGTCAAGGTGAGGTGTCCCCAAGCTGCCCCTGTCCCCCCCTCCCAGGCTGGGAACAGCCAGTGCTGAATCCTCATTAGCCACAGAGCTAATTGCAATCTCCCCACCCAGCTGCTAAGCAGCTCTTTGGGGTGGTGGTGGGCTCCATCCTGCCCATGGGGGTCTCACCACCCTGGGTGGGATCTCCTTTACCCCAGGGCTGGGGAGGAGGGAGAAACATGACACACCTTTTGGTGGCACACAGAAAACGAGCCAAAACCAGCCAAAAATTGGGACCTGCTCCCCACAGGGATGGGCTGGCACCCAGGGGACAGCTTCCCCCCCACTTAGGTCCACAACCACCTCTGCTGTCTTCAGAAAGCCAAAAGCTGATGACAGACCCCCCCTTCCCATTTGTTTTTAGAGCCTGGAGTCTGCGCTGAAGGATCTGAAGATCAAATGAAGGAGCCAGCCGGGAGGGGCGTCCCGCTGCCAGCCTGTCCCTGCCCGCTTTGTCCCCAGCCCCCGTGTCCCCACCCCAGCCGGCCGCGCAGCCACCAGCGCCCCCCGGCTGCCTCCAGCCCCGGCGGCTGCTCCCACACCGAGAAAACCTTCGGGTTTTATTCTTATTTTTGTTCCCATCCTACCCGATGCTGGTCATAACGTCGCTTCAAGGAACCAAGGAAAAAACAAAATAAAGTCGGGGTTTTTTTCCTGCCTGTAGCCAAGGATTGATGGTTTGGTTTTTTTCCTCTTTAAAAAAAAAGAAATAGCTCAACGTGCCCCCCTGTGTGCTCAGAGCTGTTTGTGCCACAGCTCAGCCAGCCTTTCTGCTCCCAGCTCTGAGGATGAATCAGGACCTTGGGGAGAAGGGGGTCAGGGGAATGTCACCTGCACGTTCCCTGCTCCCAAGAGTGCCAAGGAGCCTTTGGAGAAGCTGTAAGAGAAACCAGATAAATCCTGCGTTTCAGAGCAGAGTTTGATTGTGTGCAGTGAACAATGGGCAGGGTGAGCTGTTCCACACGTGATGGTGAAGTGGTTGGGAAGGGCTTTGGCAGAGGGAGAACCAGTACCTGAGCAGGCACCATGCCCAGCTGCTGAGGGGCTCTGCAAGGAAATCCCACATTTAGGAAAAGGAGCCTGTGCAGTGTGATGTGATCACTCCCCCCAGGATCAGCCCTCCCTGTGACACTCAGGTGTCACACCTGTCCTGGTGGTGCCCCCAGAGCAGCCCAGCCCTTACACTGACCAAAGCCCAGAGGGGGGCACTGGCTGGCAGAGAGGGATGGGGACATTCAGGTTCTGGTCTGGACAGTAGTTAGAGGGAAAACTGTTCTGCTGGGAGAAGGTTTTTCCACCCATTTCTGTGTGCTCACTCCATGTGAACAAGTCCCACCCCTCACCTGTGACACAGAACAAACCACACCTGTCACCCTGTGTCTCTACCACTGTGACCTCTCTGTGAGCAACTCCCAAGAGCTCTGGTCCCAGCTCTGGGGCTGGATCTCCTCCAGCCTGGGAAGGACTCCCCAGATGGCCCAGGGCACAGCAGGTTAGAGCAGCTGCAGCTCCAGCAGCCCTGCACTGAGCCAGGAATGTGACAGGGGTGACAGCCCAGGGACTGCCCTTCTGACACAGTGCCCAGGTTCACAGCAGCCCGAGGGGGTTGTTTTCTCACTGTGGTAACCACATTGTGCAAGAACGTCCATCAGAGGCAGCAAGAAAAGCTTCGTGCCCTCGGGCTGCATCTGCTACTGCAGCTCCTGAACCTCTAGCCAAATCCCACACCACAAACAAGGTGGAAACACCAGAGGCAGAAGCCACCACCCCACCAGGTTGCCACTGCCCCTCCTGTCTCAGCAGCAGCCTGTCCACTTGTGCTCACTTACAAATACAAGGACTGAGCAATTATGATAATTTACATTTTAATCAGCCAAATATACAAGTTCTGTTGTTGGGTTATTTGTTTTTTTTTTTAACTTTATCAAGTTTGGTTTTTTTTCCATCTGGGTCTGATACAATTAATGTGTTGGGTTTTTTTTTCCTTTAAACAAAGGATGATGTGATTAAAAACTGGCACTATCCCTAATGAGGAGAAGGAAAACAAAATAAAAATGAAGAGAAGGGAAAAGGGGGAGACTGGCTGCAAAAAAGGAGGGATGAAAGTGGGAAGGAACAGCACTCCACAGGTCCATGAAGTCAGGCTCCCAGAATACTGCAACACCCTGCAGCAAAACATGATGGGATTCCCACAGGATTCCAGGATACAGCATCCTTGGGCTCTCACTAGCAAGTCAAAGTCGTCCCCCTCCAGCCCCCATGCCCCACCCCACAATGATCCCACAATCTATTTTCTTGCAATCTAATATGTGAAGCATCTCCCCTCCCACCCCACCTCCCCCCACCTAGGAGTTCTGAACCCCAAAAACAGCAAAAAACATTCAGGTTTCCAAACTGTTATAGAGAGTGGCTGCTCAGCACAGCCCTGTGCCCAGGGCAGCAGCTGCCCCAACCCCACTGGGAATCTGTGCCAGGATGAAGACAAACACGTCGTCGGTGTCTCTTGGAGGTGGAGGTGACTTGGCAGTACACCCGACGTGGCAGGGATGGGATGCAACAGGACAGAGTTCCTGGCAGGCACCAGGCACAGTTCCCTGGTGTTTCCTCCTCTGGCATGTCCTGTGCTTACTTGTTAAGGGACAGGGTCTGCAGTCTTTTACCTGCCATGGCCGCTTCGTCTTTTGCTGGGGGAGGGAAAGAACAGAGGTTTTGTCACTTCACAGGACCAGAGGGAATGGCCTCAAGTTGAGCCAGGGGAGGTTTAGATGGGATGTTAGGAAAAATTTCTTCATCAAAAGGGTTGTCAGGCCCTGGCATAGGCTGCCCAGGGGGGAGTCACCATCCCTAGAGCTGTTTAAACGCCAGGTAGATGAGGGACTTGGTTCAGTGGTGGCCTTGGCAGTGCTGGGTTAATGACTGGACTTGGTGACCTTAGAGGTCTTTTCCAATCAAAACAATTCAGTGACTCTATATATTAGGGATTGGTGGTGGCTTGACAACCCCAGAGGCTGAAATCCCAGCAGTCACATACAGTGAGGAAACAGGAAAAATCTGACCCCCCCACAAATTCCTGGCAGATCCTCTTTGGAGGAGGGGCCCCCCTTGCATTCCCTCTGTCCTTGGCCTCTCTTCAGGTGTCCACTAATGACCCTGCTGCTGCTGCACAGATTTCTCAGTGGAAGCCACTGAGAAGACAAGCTCAGCCTTCTGGTTCACACCTGTCCAAGCTGAAGAGAAAGTCCAGGCACGGGAGGAGTGTAGCCAATTCCCTGGGCAGTTTGGATCCCCAGCAGGCAAAGAGGAGAAATCCCACCCAGCCCAAGGAACTCACAGAACCCCATCAGAGCAAGCACTGCCTGGGAGGATATCAGTGGCCTGAGGACAAAGCAATTC